GGTCCAGATTCGAATATAGGTGGGATCTCAGCAAAATTATGAGAAATATTGGGAGTAGGTGGAATGTGAAGAGGATGCCGGATAGCAATAGAGTATATTAAGTCTAAAAAGTTTGTATAAGGCTTAATGGTTTTGTCCTGAGTGATGTATATATTATTTAATGCATTTCTTATTATAATGATAAGTATAAATAATAATATATTACAAATCAGGCTTTCGAAGATTTTGAAAATCTTCTGAACTTGCATGCTAATTATCATTTAGTGTCATATACAAAAAATTATGTGACCTTACTAAATATAGGTGTAGAGACCAAAGAGATGATGCATCATATTAGTGTTCAAAAACGGATTAAAAATCCTGATTAATCCGGGATTGATTCGAATCCGATCTGAATCCATAATTCGGATTGAATCCGGGAGTGATCCGTGCCAATCTGACAGTTTGTCACATATATTTGTTACAATATAAGTGATAAATTCGAATTTATCACGTGACAAATTCGAATTTATCACTTATATTGTAGCACAAGGTGTGATACATTCGAATTTATCACGTACCAAATTCGAATTTATCATATAGAGTGATTATATAAAAACATGACCTAAAATTAGGCCCAATCCTGCTCAATCCAGGCCCAATCCGACATTTCCGGACCAAACCTAATCTGACGGTTTGGATCCGCACAAATCCGAATCCGATCCGTGCTGACTTTTTCGAACACTACATCACATATTCAAAAATATAGTATCACAGACAAATTGGAAAAATATAGATCTCGACCTGTTAAAACAATATACAACATTGTTTGCACTACATCATTTATTTAATGGTGGTGTTGACAAATGCTTTTCTTGTACAAACAATAATTTAAGGAATCTTCCTTGTCAATTAAAATGTTTAATAAATGATTGGTTCATTATTAAACACTCCTTTGGTTCAAAAAATATAAATGAAGGTTTGATTAAATTGTCATTAGTAAATTGTAAAAATTTTCAATATTCTTATAATAATTATTTCTTTACTAGATGAATATATCTCAAATATAGTCCTGAAAAAGTGTGTGACTAAGAAAAAAGCTGAAGAAAAATTTCCGAATAATTCTTGTTTTCGTAAAAAGCTAACATCAATATATCAAAAAATGGGCTATGAATTAGCATTTTTTGAAAATTCATACCAACACTATAAAGCTATTTGTTTTTTAGGGAATAATGGGATTGGTATACAACATCACCTGCATGTTGGTGATGTTGTCACTTTAGTATCTGAAGTGGGTGAATGTTTTGCGATTCTACGATCAATTTTCAGACATAAAAGGAATGATCAGCATTTCATTTTTATTATTGTCGACGAGTTTGAACTTACTAACCAAGAGAAACTTGGATGTTCAGTTTATAGGCTTTGAAAAACTCAGAGAATCTATCCTATAAGCGAAGTTGACACAAATAATGTAACACATTTTATTTATTATTGTAACAGTGAATGCACTGGTGATGGTCATAATCTTAGGAATAATTTATATATTAAAAATATGTATTTTTTCAAAGCTGTATAATATATGGAATCATAGTGGTGTTCTATTTCTTTCATTATTACTTTTATATAGAATATTATACTGGGTGTAGTATTAAGATTTTATGCATATCTGTAATAATTGCTAATTTATATTTTTTTATTCTGTGATGAATTTCAAGTTATAGAAGTTGAATCTGATTTTTGTTAAATAGAAGATAGATAAAGTTGTATGTATAGTGTTGTTTAACTAATTGTAAGCCGAAAGTCATAAAGTAGTTTAGTTCAGTATTGTGTGTAGACAGTACATGACTATATAAGATTCATGTGCATACGTATAAGATCTGATATAATGTGATAAAAATCAGGTGTTGTATGAAGTTTCTAGAACATCTATATTATAACGCGATTTTGATTCATATATATTTCTTATGATGATTTCTTAAATTTTTTTATTGCGCTATGAGATTTGGTATTTTCAGGCATAATCTACGCAGAACTGTTCTTTGGTACTAGATTAACAAAGTCTAGAGTTTAGTAGGGTTGAATTGTCCACTTAAACAGGGCATCTTGGAATCTTTTCATTCAGCAGGCAATGAATAGTGATATGGCAGTTAATTAACGGGCAAAGCATCTCTATTATCAATACTTAATGATACTCATTTCTTCTATTATTTTAATATTTCTAACTTGATAACTTTCTTGTGGTCTTGTTGAATACGTTAAATAATAATAATCGAATTGTTACTAATAGGTTCATATCTTTTTCTTTAATAGATTCAATTGATATAATTGAGGTCGCTTTTAGCATTACTTTCTTGAAAGTAAGCACTACTAGTTAGGCCATATTTACATTCAGTGATTGAGGTGTACTTTCTTCGCTTTATTTATTTTATTAATAGTTTTATTAATTTCAGTCCAAATTTATTATTCAAATTTAATAATGTAGTGAATCCAGAAATACGACTTCACTAGATTCACTGTATTTATTTTGAAATATATCAAAAGAGAATGTTCTTCATTCGATTAGAATGAGTAAAATTATGGGTATTGTTTCAGAATGGTTGATTACTGATAATTCGATTAAGGATTAAATTTAATTTTTCTTTTTCTTTTTTGATCGATTCTTTTTATAAATTCATCAACATTCAATTTTTTGTGGGATGATTTCTTTTTCAAGCCAACCCTGATGCAGATCGATCTATTTAGCTTGAAATTTGTGGATTAAATCGCTTTCAACAATTGTATCATAGGATCCAGCATTGATAATGGTATCTATTGTAATTTCTATACCATTGACGTTGGACAGAAGGTGTGATGTTTCTCCTAAGGCTTTCAAGGTTTTCTGAGTTACTGTGATATTTAACTTAATGCAGCATATATGAAGACACAAAACTATCTGAATAACTGCTATGCATTATCAAAGGGATAGCTTCTTTGAAACTTCTTGCTCACAACAGAAACCTTTTTTTCATCTACTTTCCTTCAAGAGTAAATGCTAATATTATTTTTCATATTTCTTGTAGATGATTTTCTTTTGAAATTGTACAAAGTAATTGTTCAATAGATATGTTCATTTTCCATTTACATAACTATCCAACATCAATTAGTAATAAAATATCAGGATCAAGTATAATGTAAAATTTTGTAGTTAAATCGTATCTAATGAATATTCATAACCACACACAGTATCCATTTAAAATCCAGATATCCGCACAATGTTATTCGTAGATGACCATGACTCATAAATTCATCGAATAACCACAAAGAATATTCAAAGATCTGATCTCTGCTTTCAAACAATTCATTCATAATATTTATTTTACTTACTACATTGCTCTTATAAATGAATATCAAAATTCAAAAAAGAAATTAGAACAATATTTAATAATCAAGTGATATTGTTGCAATTATCTTCTTTGAATTTTGACATCCATCTATAATTGCTTTTTATTTTCATTACCATGATAGTAATATTAGACACTCAACTTACTACTATCCTTTTTGAAACATTTTCTGCATCAAAACTTATGGTACAAGTTTATTGCTTCGAAAACCCTTCTGCTTTATTTGATCACAAGTTTATACCTGATCCATTATATGATATTTAATCTCTGCTTTTATAATCTAACTTTATCAATTCACATTTACTACCAGCATATTGTACTATTAATGTCTCTTAAAATAAACTGGTTTGGAGGTTTTATTTTTCAATAGAGCTTTGTTATTTGTTTTTTGCAAATTTAGATTTTATCTTGGCATTTGTGAATAGTTTCGCTAATGCTATATACGTATTACTAACCTCATATAAATTATTACCAGGTTTTATCAGTTTGGAAAATATTATGCAGATATGAATAACCTAGATAAGTATTATAGTCTCAACTGAAATGAGCCATCTGGATGAATATTTTTCTTGTTCCTATTACAAATCAAATTGAAATTAAGGATGAAATAAGACATTCATTGATTATCAAAAATATATTGGTAAGGATATTTGAGCAGAATGTTCTTGCTTAGTTATTTTTGCGAATGAATTAAAAATAAGGCATCTTTTCATTATTAGGAATCAACAGATATGAATGATCCTGACTTGGTTATTCATTACAGTTAAAACGTAGGTGACCTGAATTGGTGTTAAGAATGGAAATAAGGCATTTGATTATTATTAAATAACCTGCAGATATAAAAAATTCATATCTCTTACTCTGTTAAGCCGAATTGCTGATATATAGATACCCAGTTACTTCAGTTATCTTATGTCAAGAAAATCCTGAGCTGCCAGCCAAAAAATATAGGTTGTAGTATTTCAAAAATTTTCTATATATCTAATATTAAAAATTGTGTCTGATAAGTAAAATTTCATTTTGAAAACTTTTACTTAGAGGTCAGAAGTTAGTTATCATAGTAAATTTTTGTGTTATTTACATTTTTTTTTTTATATTTTCTGTTTTTTGCATTTGTTTTATTATACAAGATCCTGCGTTTTGATTGGATCTGGATAGGGCCGAAAGTTATCTTCAGTCCAGGATTTTCTTAACATAAGGGTACCCGTCAACTTCATGTCCCTTACTCTGTAAGTCGAATTGCTGGTACGTGGATACCCAGTCATCTTCACGTTTTTAGCTTTCCAACATTGTTTGCGCAGTTTTACAGTTATGCCAACAATACAAATACTTACATTAAAAGTCTGAAGATTATTAATATTCAGACATTTTGAGATAGTACAAGAATGAGATTTTTACAGGACCTCAAATAGTGAGCAATGAAATAAAAAGATAGAAAGACCATGTGCTAAAAGAATAACTTTTTCCGAAGACTCTCGAACAAAACAATTTAGTTTTCTTATGATGCCATGGCCTTTAGATTATGATATCGATCATTAAGTTTAACATTATGGAACTGTTTGGCAAGCTCTGATCTAGTAATTATACTGGGCAAATTAGAAATTTTAAGTGTTTTGTTAAATTGTTATTAAAAATATTAAATAGTAAAAATTAACAATATGGTAGATTGATATTTAGTTTTTGGTTCTAAATATTTATAAAATTTTATAATATTATTTGATAGTAATAAAATTTATTCTGAATTGTTGTGTTGTTTTTGTCAAACTGTTATTTAATTATAAATATTTAGTGAAAATTTTGTTATTTAATCAAAAATTTATAGTTATAATATCTTTGTTAATTGTAAAATATATTTAAAATATTTAGTCTCAATATTATTATCAAATTATTGTTTAATTATAACAAATTAAAAACTATTTAGTTACAAAATTTACTATGATAATCTTAATGTATAGTAACTGCATTGCATGGTATAGTAGTGATGATATTACTAAATTGTATCTTAATTCTAATAAAATACTTACAATAAATATATAATATAGTGACAATTTGTTTATAATTTAGTTACAATTTAATATGTTTCAGTAAAGTAGTTGCTATTATTTATATTAACACACTAAATTTTATATATAAATTTTTATAAAAAATTATTAAAATTTAGAGTTATACAATCATCCTTCTATACAATCACTTCCTATATAATCACAAACTCTATATAATCACATAATTTTATACAGATATTTTTTAATATTAAAAATACCTTTATATAATTACAATTATAGTATTATCACTATCACATTTTTTAAGAAGTTTTTTTACTAATTTATTAATAAAAATACCTCTATAAAATTGCAAATTAATAAAAATTTTTTATTTAAATTTTATAGATTTGTAGAAATATTTTTAAAATTTTAAAACATTTATTAAATAGAATAAAATTTGCTATTTTTATTCAAATGTTGTTGATGGATATCTCAATACTATTGATCCAAATTAGCTCAAATTTTACTATAGATAATATTGATATTTTTCTATTATATAAAAATTTTAGCTGATTTGGTTTAGTATTTTTTGAGTAATTGCTTATATATGATAGTTAATGTTTTAAAAAAATTAACTATAGTATGCAATTCATTACTCAAGAAATACTAGACGAAATCAGCTGAAATTTTTATATATAACAGAATAATATCTACAATATATATAGTAAAAAATTCAGCTGATTTGGATTAATAGTTACAAAGATATCTATTGTCAAAGTTTGAGTAAAATAACGAATTTTTTAATAATTGATTACTATAAATTTTTTTTTTTACTTAAACTTGATGATAAATAACTCTATAACTAGTTATTAAAATTAATTCAAATTTTTATTATAGATAGTTTTAATGTTTTTTTATTATATATAAAAATTTCAGCTGATTTAGTCTGGTATTTTTTAAGCAATAACTTGTATATAATTATTAATTTTTAAAAAAATTGATAATCATATACAAGCAATTACTTGAGAAATACTAGACTTAAATAGGCTAAAATTTTTATATATAATAGAAAAATATTGATACTATCTATTATAAAATA